CATCTTATTCTAGCCTTTAATGTGGATAGACACGATGAAGGTATGTCTATATTCAGATACATACATATTATACATATTTACAAATAATGCTATACTACTAATAATAATTGATAACTTAGCAGTTAAGCTTAATAAATATATAACCTGGAAACCTGTATTGATTACATAGAACTTCTTGTTATTGAGGTATTGCTATATGACATGTATCGCTGAACTAGATGACTATAGTGAATTTTTTTTTTTTAAAGATTCTTTTTATTTTGAAAAGTTTTCCTTCAGTGTGGGTTGTTCCAGACAGGGTTAGATACAAGTGGCTGAATGTGGAGAGATGGATCACCGAGAGGGTTAAATATTTGCACTTGGAGCAGAGGGCTAGAAGTCAAACAAGTCAGTCAAGTTGAAGTTATTATTATTTTTTTCCTCAATCAGAACAGCGTAAACTGGATTTGCAGGATGCTGTAATTTTCCAGTTGTACACTCTGCTAGTACGGGAGAACGCTGTGGTTAAGAGGAGCAAAGGAGAGACCTAAAGAAACAAGAGCATCAAACCACAGGATACTTACTTTACATGAGTTTTCTGATGTTGCTGACCACTGAACGAGCTGACCAAAAACGCAGCTCGCACGTCAGTCTGGCAGGTCGCGTGGCAGCAGATCAGGCCTTGTCTGGAACAGCCCTCTTATTAGCTTCTTCGAGGGATCGTATTACTACTGCTCCTAGTATTATGATGAATATGATGACTATAATGATTGCTATTTCGATTTCTCTTCTATATGCTATTGATATATGTATGTTAATTGCAATGTATAACTCTCTCTTTATATATGTATCCATGTATGAATATAATATGCATCTGTGTATGCTGCTAGTGCACAGCTCTGTTTGGGGGTGAAGGCAGTGAGCAGAAAACACAGATTCTGGTAGATTTCATTTATCAGCTGCCAACAGCTGTAGACTTGTAAATGAGTGCTAAATCTGAGATCTTCTGGTAGGACCAAAGGGTAAAACTAGATAGTTGATGATTAAAGTATATATACTGTAATGTCTTTCCTTCTTGCAGTGTCTCAGTTTGATCCTACCAGCAGAACTCACTGCTCACTGCCTTTGCGTTGCCTCTGGTTGAGCTGATTCACCGGGCAAGGACAGATCTGGAAACGACCGCATACACAGAGGCTTATATACTCCCGTATAGCGCCTTATTCAATATACTTCACCTATAAGATGATAACATACCCCTATTGTATAACCCTCCTTACTATATACAGTATATGATACTTGATACCTATTATAATACTTAGACACCCTTATAAGGTAATCTGAATAAGAGATGATGGGCTGTCTTTTTTTCCGTGGCTGTTGAAAAGTGTGCTGTGGTCAGAAATGTGTTCTCATCTTGCTTTTGAGAGTTAAATGGGACAGGCTATAAAGGAGAGTGGCGCTCACCCAAAGAAAATATAATTTGAGGTTTTTTTTAAATCCCATTTGGCCAACATAGACTAAAATTTGTCGATCTGGATTTAGATTTTTGCTGTTTAAATAAGAGAGCAAATCATTTGAGGTGAGGCTCCTCTCCCTAGTGTTTGTGAGAGAGGTCGGGGAAACAAAGAAGCAAATGTCTGGGCTGCTTGTTGTGTGCGTGCCGTTTAAAAGCCGACGAATCATGACACAACCTTATCGAGCGTGTGACGGATTCTGGTGCCAAAGCATCTGATAGAACAGACAGATTTGCTCGCGCATATGTGGAAGAAATTACTTTTCTCTATCCCCCTCTTAAAGTAAAGGGGGTCAAATAATGAATTTTGTTGCTCACACAGGCATGCTTCTTCTGAATGTCACCTGACTTCAAAGTTGTGTGTTCTGATAAAGTGCCCTGATCCAATCACTTCACTTTAATGCATCTTGCCGCAGTGAAATGACGTTACACGCTGCCCAGTTGCTGCTCCAAAAAGAAATATTCAAGTGACCTACCATCCCCTGTTGCCTCTTTGCCACTCCGGCTCCCCCACCCTCCGATGAAGTTTGTGTCATGTGTTTGGCAGCACCAACACACACCTACACAGCTACAAAAGACTGAACGAATCAGTTTTCAAAAGGTTAGAATTTTTTTTTTTTTGGGTTATTGTTTTTGGCAACTTCGATTGAGGAAACCAGGGATGCAAGAAGTGGAAAAAACAAGGCCTCTGTTTATTTGTTTGTTTTGTATGTTTTTCTTTTTAAAAAAAACATTTTGTTGTTATTTTTTTCCCTCTTGACTTTTTCTCTTTTCTCCTCCCTGGTTGGAAGTTGATGATCACACATGTGGACCAAATCTCTTGAAAGCATTTAATAAACTTTTAGATAAAACAAAACCCAGTGGATTCTATTCCTTAAAATTAAGCACCCTGACATTAATCCACAAGTATGATTGGTGGCAGTCAAAATGTGAAACGCTGAAACTTAACGGTGACAGGATTTATTACAAACCGGTCTGACCGTGCCAAGCTCAGAGTTTAACGAGTCCCACACGTGACTTACAGAGATCTTACAAAACACCCTTTGCAGAGCCTGCTCTTCAGTCTGAGGCCTTAGATGCACTTTGGAGCCACAGTGAAAGTTAAATGGAGACTCTCCTCTGCCCTTTAATTTAGACATTTCTCTCAGCAAACATAAACTGCATGAATAGACTCCATAAAAGTTCATAATTAGTATAATACAGGGGTGTCAAACTCATTTTACACTGAGCCGCATGCAGCTCATTTTGATCTTAAGTTGGTCGGACAAGTGAAAGTAAAGAAGATAGAAAACTACACACTTAATTCCTGAGATTTAATTTCAACAGCATCTCTCTTTTTCTGCATAATAAAGAGATCCTGCTCTAGTAAATGAAAGATATGTCCACAGCACTCTTTAGACTTGATCTAAGTAACAAATGTGTAAATTATAGAAAAAGTAACAATAATAAAGTTATAGAGTAGATGCTGAAAAAAACGGGAAAAAACTTTTCTGTCATTTTTTAAAAATCTATTACTCATTTTCTCTGGTGTACTATAAACCGTGGGACCGTGGGAAGCTACAGCTTTCGCAAAATACAGTTAAAATCCAATACTTAACCCCTCCACTCACATTTACCAAAGCTGCAGCGGCCACACTGAGGACTGAGGCGTGCCCCTAGAGCTTATGTTTGACACCCATTGGACTGTTTCTGTCTTAGTTGGCGTAAAACGTGTGTATAGACGAGCATTACAAGGCCTATACTTTACATAATTGCTATTCCAGACATATAACTGGAACGGGTTAGCTTAAATTTAGGACTTCGTAGCCTCATGCTTGCTCCTAAGTCCCCCACACGGTGACCCTAAGCGAGTTACTCTGATAATATACATCATGTTTTTAAAAAAAAAACGAACTCACATCTTACTAAAGTTTCTTCAGTCGTGGGGAGCATGTAGGCGTTAAAACCAGTTTTATATTCCGTGTGTACCCGACTTATAACGTAACGGGTCGCTATGGGTCACGTTTTTTTTTTTTTAACTTTAGGTAACACAGGTGCGGTCCAGGATTGGCTGGCAGCGCTGTGATTAGCAAAAGGTATGGCCAATGGGCGTTCTTTCCGTCGATTGCGTGAGAATGCTCGCTGCCGATTGGCTGCGCGGAGCTGGAGTGGGCGGGCCGCGTTAAGTAATTTCGGCCGAGTTCAGAGTGCGAGACCTGCCTAAGTTCTAATATTTCCCGACGCTTTTCGGGAGCGCTCACACCCGTTCAAGCACTGCCCGCCCCTCCAGGATTGTGCACTTTCACAGGAGAAAACATGACCACTGAAATCCCAGAGATTTTCAAGGCTCTTCTTGAGCATCCGTTCGCTCTTCCAAACTTTGATGACAATGGTAAGTGACAGCCAAACGTGGTTCTGGTTAAGTTAAAATTCCAAAAATTAAGAGACAGATTTACCACGTAGATCGTTTATCTGAAGCGACAAACTGATTTTGAGGAAATTCCGGAACTTTTGCGCAAACTGTGTGTTTGTTGCGTAATCCTCGTCAGCTGAGCCGCATGAGACAGCAAGGAGCTTCTCCTTGGCTGGATTTAGAAGCTAAAAGTTGGAGGAATTTAACAGAAAATGTGGACTATATTACTAAATAGACACTTATAATTTAAAAAACGATACTCTAACACATACAAAGCAGGTACTGATCCTTTCATTGCGGTGGTAAAGACCGCTCAGTGTGAAAGAGGAGATATGTTGATAAAGCTAAACACCTGCTGTTTTTAATGATCATCAACATCGCGTTGCAGGCTAATAAAAATGCTGTCATTCGTGGTTGTAACGGATTAGTAACAACGCCTCTTTTGACTGAAAGCTCCAGTAAGCAGACTCAGGTCGACCTGCAAATCAGATCAGGTCGACGCAATGACTCTGTTTTCATTCCGTGTAAGTGATCACAGAGATATAATATCTTCAAATTGAGACTAAATCTGCCACTTTAACAGGACTGCACAGTAGTCACTCAGGCTGAGTTTTTAAATGGGTCCATCACAGTACTAACATGACTCGTGAAGCAAAAGCAGTCCTTTTGTTGTTGTTGTTGTTGTTGTTGCTGCTGTGCTGCACAGTATGTTTGACTTGTTGTTGTAGGAGAGAAGTTAGATTAGGTTATGGCTCCAAGTGCTTTAAAATGTAATTTTTGGGTGAACTGCCCCTTTGATGAATGATGAATCAGTAGTTAGTTGACAGTTGACTCTAACTTGTCCATAGGTAATGAATGTGGCATGAATGGTTGTCAAGTAGTCTGCCTGTTGTCCTGTGACAACTGAGATAGTCTGCAGCCCAACCTCAAGCTCCCTGAACTGGATAAGTAGAAGAAAATGGTTTTTGGTCTTTGCAGACCATGAGAGAGCAAGTGGTAAATTTACAGCAGGCGAGAGTACTCTGCTGCTCTGTGTCTAATTAAGTAGTTTAATGCAGCTCAAGTCAGAGCACCTTTCATTACAGAGATTCAGGAACTCCATATTTTCCACCTTTAGTTTTGATCAGAGACTAAATCCTCCCCACCATCAAGGTCAGGGAATGAGCCACTCTCCAGCTGTTCCTTGCTAGAGGGGCTGTGTTCCTTCTTTAAAATACCTTTGATGGTGATTTACTGCTTTCATGTCAGGCGGCATGCTCGGTCAGCTCACGTTTTTTTCTTTTTCTTCTTTGTAAACTCACGTGTGACTTACCAGTAAAATTTTGATGTCTTTCATGCTCAAAAATTCTTCTGCCAAGTGTTGAAAGACCGAAAGAGAGCATTTTGGTTTATGCACAGGTATTATTGATGCTGTGTGTAAATTAATTGAGCCTTGGTTTATTGCTATATTTTTGAAATCCTCAAACTTTTAGCTGGGCCTTTTATTCTTCTCAAACTTTCTGTCCTATATACACTGTTACAATAGTGTATTCTAATATTTAACATGACCAGAGGGGCAGCGTGAGGATGATGAGGGACTGCACTAAGGGTCAGTATAAAACAGATCATTATATGGAGGTAGAAATTTCATGATGACATTTATAATAACGTACAGGCGTGCACTGCCTGTCGTACATACTGATCATAAATAGAACTCGTGTGTACCATGAGACAGACGCAAATGATCAGGATGGATCAGATCTCACATTCGTCTTGGTGTGTGTTGCTCCAAAGCCAAAGATTTTGATGCGAGGACTGCAAAGATGCTTTTATTCTCTCCCACTCTTAGCTGGGGTATGTTTTAGATTAGGAAGTTGTAGGAGTTGTCTACATGAGGACATGACATGAAGGTCAAATAAAGTCGTTTCTTAAAGGGTCTTGTCCAGCACCTCCAATGCAAACTCTGTGCACACACTTATTATTTTGGACCGTAGTCTAAAATCACATGGAGCTATACAGACCACAAACAGATACTTTCCTAATTTGTTTCCCTAATTTTGCACAGACAAGATTTTAGTTCTACTTGTTAATGCAGCTAATAGTTTATCCTTGTGGTTAAGTGTCATATATAATAAGTGGGACAAAGTTCAGTGTGACCACCTATAGCAGATGACATTGGGGGATTGTATTTGTTTTTATCGCTGTGACACAAACACAGAGAAAAGCTCCCTCTCACACTAAAGACAATAAAACTGTGCCTTGTGTCAGGAAAGCATGCATGTAGCTGCCTTTTACAGGGTGCCTTACTGAATACTTCATGTTAGTGCACACTTTGGAGGGCAATAACATGTGTCTATTTAAATGCCTTTTTGCATAAGAAAACAGGATGTAGATTTTAACCGTGTTTATGATGAAATCAAATAAACGCACATCCTGTTTTGTGTCCAAGCGCGCTCAATTTGTTTTCCATGAGTGAAATGCAAAAATCCTTTTTCTTTCTCCGCAGGATATGATTTGCTTCAATCTCTACATCATTCAGAATATTGTTTATTTATTTATTTTTTACCACCACTTTTTTCACCAGGAGAAAAAAGTTGTTTACTGTTTAAAGGCGATGTGAGACAATTATCAGCGACCACGATTGTGATTAAGCTTTCTGCGGCACAGCACAGCCATGCACATCTTTGCCCCTGGGTCTTCTGCTTAGCTGCAGCAGCATAGCCCACACCAACTAAACCTCAAGGTGCTGCTCCTCAGCCCAATAACACTTTGGCACTGCAGCGCCGCCCTTCTTGCTCACGCCTGCGTGTGAGCCACAGAGACACATCGCGGCGTCATTGGACGAAACCGGCGATATGTAAGAGCGGCACGTGTGTTTGCATGTGAGCTGGGCAGGCTTTGCTAGTCAGGACATTGTCCGAGCTGTTTGTCCCACTTTTTCTGCAGTTTTTTCTTCTTTTTGGTTTTTCTGTCAGAGTATATCAATTAATATAATATTCGAGTATTCCTGATTAATATCTGATTTGGGTTAGATGGTTATAGTTATTATAGTTCTAAATTTAGAAAATGTGCTATAAACCCTCGCTGTCTGTTTTTATGTGATCGTATAACATTAAAAGAACTGGAAAGAAAGCTAAATAACCGAATAAGGGTGGGAAAACTCGGTTAAAATACGTGTAGCAATAGTTTTTATATCTTATTTAGGTGAACATGTATATAACTCGGTCAACCATTGAGAGCGCAGATAGTTTTCAGGAACACGCCCCCTCGCGCTGTGATATTAATATTCATGAGATCAGACTCAGCCGGCCAATCAACACAAAGCCAGCAGGAGGTTTTTTCACAAGGAGGCGCGGTTTGTTCTAAAAACAAAAAAACCAAACCTTTCGACTGTCACAGTTACCGAGGAAGTGGGTTAGTGAAGCTCTCGTGGATGCTATCACGGATAAAATTCGTTTGAGTGGATTTTGAAGCAGTCTATGACGGCGGTTCAGCGGGCTGAGGAGCTGGCGTTATCAAGCTAACGAGCTAACCCGCCGTGTTTGCATATTTTTTTTGCACTTGCTCCGCGGTGAACTTTGAATAATAAAGAGAAAAAAAATAATTATAAAAAATGTCTGGAGAGCCACTTCTCGTCACGGTGGAGACTGCCGCTGGGGCCCCGAGTTCATTCCCGCTGGTTTTGAAGAAAATAATGGAAATGCCTCCGCCGAATATACTGGACGGAGACGACGGTAAGCGCAGAGCTGACGAAGAGGAAGAGGCGGATGTCGGCTCTAAAACGAGTTCACCCGAATAAAGAGGCTGGCGAATAATAAAAATAATAATTAAAAATAGTCTTCTTATCATAACAGTGTAGCAGCCTGTATACGGTTGTCGCTGCGTGTGCTAACAACTCTGAGGGAATATTAATTTTGCAGCGCTAGCTGCAGTCGCTATGTACCCTAGAAAGGCCTCCTCTTTTCTCCTGGGTCCGACTCTGCTCAGCATCCAGACTTTTCTAGACACGCCCCTGAGTTTAAATGCAATTATTTTGCTGTTGTTGACAGGAGGCACTCTTTCCCCGGTTAAAACAAAGTAATATTTTGATGATAAAACCTGGTTTTAAGTGAATAAGAACGTAAATAAGCGTGATAACATTCTCGGCCTGGTTGTTTTTCCCCCTCACTGTGTGTTCACTGTGGATATGAGTCCTTGAGTTTAAAAACCGCATAACTGAACCATAGTCATCTTAAATGGTGTTCACTGTTGCTGCTACTATATACTGGATGTAGTGGTGTCAGAGTCCTTAAAATAGCTTTCTACAGAAAAGTGACAGATGATAGTGGGAGGGGGAGGAGATTTTACTGTAACACACTGGATAGTTTGGGGTAGAAACAGAGAGAAGAAAAGATCTTCTTTCTCAGCACTGAATACATTATAAAGCCATGTTTTCTATGTCAAAGCAAAATATATATAGTATAATATTTGTGAAAACTCCATATGTGTGTGTCTGTGTGTATATTAATGTGTATCTTTCCTGTTTCAGACACCGACAAGGAAAAGCTGTGTCTTGGAGACACCGGTGACCTGGGTGGAGGAGGGAGTGACATGGGTCCTTCGGCCGCTCTGACCCCAGCTATCTGGGAGAAAACCATCCCCTATGATGGTGAGACCTTCCACCTGGAGTACATGGACCTGGAGGAGTTCCTCATGGAGAATGGCATTCCCACGTCACCAGAGGAGAACTCCTTAAAGGGCACGCCAGAAGGAGGCGCCATGAAGACGGAGAACCAAAAGGCTACATCCTCTGCACAGACAAAGATCACCAAGCTAGTGTCTCCATTGACTCTGTTGCCCATTCAGGAGCTGGACAAGAGTCAGGAGGAAGTGGTGATCATCACAAAGAGTGATTCTGACATCACCTGTGATGTTGTTACAGGTGAGGCTCCTGTTGGCTCTGTATGATGTCAGAGAGAGCAGAGTGTTTATGGGGGCCAGAAGGAAGTTGCTTACTGAAGATAAGGCTTAGTTTGAACTGTGATTCATGCAAAGCTACTCTAACAAAATCTAAGGATAAAAATACAGAGTTTGTAGATAAGTATAATTGTATAAGAAGTATAAACCCCTGCTTGAATTGTCCTAAATAGAGGTAATAATGCATGCTTATATTTCATATTTGGTTGTGTCACTATGTTAGCGAAACAGGATATGGTGTGATCTAACAATGTCACCTAATCCTGAAACAAGCTGTGGGTGGTAACTATTCTGGCGGGACAGCAGAAATAGAAGCTGGTGCAGCCGCATACTGGAGATGGCAGACTTTACAGTTGGTGTCTCATATTTCTGTTGTTGTTTCTTATCTGTGTGCTCAGAGGTGACCACTGGCAAGGACAGGGTGACTCCTGAGCCCATCAGCCCTGAAGAAATTGAGGTTGAGGTCAACTACGAGCCAGATCCTACAGATTTGGTCCTGTCGAGCGTGCCCGGGGGTGAACTGTTTGACCCGCGCAAACACAAGTTCTCTGAAGATGATCTCAAGCCACAGCCTATGATTAAGAAGGCCAAGAAGGTGTTTGTGCCCGACGAACAGAAGGTATGCTGGCAACTGGACGAGGAAAACCACAAAAAAATGCACTTTCAGTCTAGCAGGCTGCTTCATTGTGTTTATGTGCCTCGTGGCAAATCAGTAAAACAGGAAGACAGTTGGAGCTCAAACATGTAGGGTTGTATAATCACACTAGAAACATTGCTGATGCTCTGTCATCTCTTAGACTGCTGTTAAATAATATATCGGCATATATAAGACTGGCAATTATATGTCAACTTTCTAATCATTCACTCATTGCTTTATTCCATGCTGTGTCTAATATACACGCTCTTAACTTGCATGTATCGGGGTAATTTGGGATTACTGTTAATAACTGATAAAAATGAAAGTGGGAGGCATGTGAGCTTGTTTTTAAAAATGTTATTTATTTTTGAAGGCGGGAATGCTAGAAAACATTTACAGTCACTGCCTGAAATAAACAGGAAATGTTTAAAAAAACAACAACTTTCTATTTATTTTTGTGCGGTTTGGAATTTCATCAGTGTTGGAGGTTTGAAAAAGGATCTGCTGTTGAGTTCTGCAACTCACCATGACTCAGCGATGTTGAATCTTGAAATCAGTTTTTTCTCTGCTTCCTGCTCCTCGAGAAGAATGCTGGTTTTGTTTACAGGGACAAAGGAGCTTGGCTGTCAGCCATATTTGCAGGATTAGGCAAACATGGGCGAGATTTAGGTTAAAGTGCGCTGAATAGAATAAAGAACACGCAGTAAGCAAGCTGTTTCTTTCCTGTTTTACTCCTCCAGGATGAGAAATACTGGCAGAGGAGGAAGAAGAACAACGTGGCGGCTAAACGTTCCCGCGATGCCCGCAGGCTGAAGGAAAACCAGATCACTGTCCGAGCTGCGTTCCTGGAGCGTGAGAACACGGCGCTGCGGACGGAGGTGGCCGAGCTGCGGAAGGAGTGCGGCCGCTACAAGAACGTTGTGGGGCGATATGAAAACAAATACGGACCACTGTAAGGGACGAGGAAAACACACATGTGAATACACAAAAGGACATGCAAACCTGACAGTGTCAATATTTAGAAAGATAGATATTTTTAAGACCTGATCTTTTGCCATGTGACCGGATACAAACCTACCGTACCGCTGAAGAGAGGGATGGCCTTAGCTGGAAGAGAGGGGGAGGAAGAGGGGAGAATGAGACCCCTGTATAGCCTACACTGTGATGAAAGTCCGTCAGGGGGGTTGATTTGAATAATTGTGAGTGTATTTGGTGAACAAACCTGCTTACATTTGAGTCACAATAACGTGGGAATGAGTAAAACGGCAGAGGCTTTCCTTCCATGTGGTACCTAAGAAGGTAAAGGGAGATGAGCCTAAAGCCTCACTCATGTTGGATATTCTACTTTACAATAACTTCTTGGTAGTCCCACACACCAGCCTTCAGAGCTGCCAGTTGCTTAATACTGGCCTCTCTTCTCCCCCCTTCCTTCCATTGTCATTCATCCTTGTTCTCTTCTCTTTTAAGAGCGGTGCCAGATGACGAATAGACAACAGTTGATTTATTCATTTATTTTTCCTAATGAATAAATAAATCCTTTGGTTGTTACGTGGAAGAAGAGGATGAAGAACAGACGAGCCTGTGTGAGGGCCGATGCTGCCAGCGAGATGTTATAGCATGTTAAGATATCATTTTTAAAAAAAATCATTATTATTATTATATTTAGCATCTGTGCAAGTGAGAGGGGTGTGTGAGGATATTCAAGTGCTTCTTTGGTGCACCTCGCTTCTGAGGTGTCTTTTTTTTATCATGTTTTGTACGACCGATGCTGAGATGAGATTGTTTGTGATGTTCGGGCTTTGATTTTTACATACAGTAGGTTTGGTTTTGTTTTTTTAGGTAGCACATGTAATGGTTTAGGATACACGGCTTCCTTATTGGGCTTTGCAGGTTGCTTGCAGCAGTTTTATATCATAATATAAGAGATTGTGCAACGAGTTGGGTTTTTCTTTAACCACAAAGACTTCTTTCTTTGACTGTGACATTTCCAATAACCTAAAAGCTTCTTCAGGGGATTTCTGTGACTTGGCAGGAAAAAACAAACAAACAAAAAAAAGCAGCCATGTTCAATTTTCTTCATGTATGAGCTTTCTACTAGCGGCGGCTCAGAGCTGTACATAAACGCTTGGTCCTCCCTGTTTCTGTGCTTGTCGCCCTCGTGCTGTGTCCCTCAGAGTTGTTGCCTCTCTGCGGGTTGTCGATGTGGACTCGTCCATTTTCTGTCAGCAACACTTCAGAAGTGTCTGTGTAGAGTCTACTGATGCATGCACTGTAAATAACTCAGGCTAATGTAATACAGTAAAAATGTATTTAGCATCATAGACCATACATACAGTGCTATTTGAATCTTTATTTACCATTTACACCTGCTTCCGTATTACAGGTTTTCTGTCGAATCACACAGAGCGCCTCTTCAGTCTCCATAACACAGACTGTTGTGGGACACCTCTTTAAACCCTTTGAGTGTTTTCTACGTCTAAAGCCATTTCAATGCAGCGAGCAGTCTGCCAGTGTACAGTTAACTTTGCATCCAAACTACAGCTGTGACTTACCCGCCGGTTACTTTGCTGTCCACTTTTGACAAAAAAGGGAAAGCGGTTTATTTCTCTTTTGCTGCAGGGCTTCCACATCTATAACTGTTCTCACTTTGTAACCTAAATAAAAGTGAACATTGTGTTCTTTACAATTTTTTTTCTTTTCATTTTTTTAAAAAACAGCTTCTTCTTAATGAAGGGGCGTGTGCATTTTTGTGAAGTACAACTACAAGTAGGATTTTTGTGTAAATATTCCAGACCGACAGAAAATTGTTTCACTCCAAGCTTTTTGTTGTTGCAATGGTTGTTGCAGCTTCTCAGGAACAGGTCATTTAGCTAACTTTGTTGTGTGGGGTTTTTTTTAAAACCTTTCTGGTTACATCTTTGTAAAGAAACATCTTTGAGTGAGGCAATCTTTTGTCTTGTATTTACATTATGTAAGATTAAAGCCTTGTTGACCGAACTCTTTGAGTCTCTTGTTTCTTTTTATTTTTTATGCCATCTTATTGTCATGACTGCAGGATCTGAGGAAAACCTGGAAGGACAACTTTCAACTTTGGTACAAACCTTTACTTGAACCTAAGAATGAACTGCTTGGTGTTTGAAAATCATCTGGACCTCATAAAACACAACTTTGTATAAATTATAAGGGTTCGCACAATTTTCTTAAGATCAAATAATTAAAATCAAGTTTTCTTGATGTTATTTAAGGCCATACATCAGGAACAGGGGGCACATTAGTGATCAAAGTTCACTGGATTTTTTTTGGTCATCAATGGATTTGAGTGAATGAAAATGACTATTCTGATTCTTGACAGATTTAAAGCTATTGTTGAAATAGTGACACACTGAGCCTCTAAACGAATCTGCTTATCTCAGAGTAGTTTGAGGAGGTGGATGTTCTAAAACAGGGGTTGGGAACTCCAGGCCTCAAGGGTTGGTGCCCTGCAGGTTTTAGATATTACCCTGGGTTAACACATTTAAATCCAATGGTTAGTTCATTACCAGGCCTCTGGAGAACTTCAAGACATGTTGAGGAGGTAGTTTAGCCATTTAAGTCAGCTGTGTTCGATCAAGGACACATCTAAAACCTGCAGGACACCGGCCCTCGAGGCCTGGAATTCCCATCCCGTCCTAAAGCAACCCAGGTGGTGGTGCTGAGAGAAACTACAGGAAATGTCAGTAAACATGTTCAGTATCTCACATATTACTGCAGTATGTCAGATTGTCTTTTTTCCTTCCCTCACCCACGGCTGAAACTGGAGGTTTCTTCCTGTTAAAAGGGAGCTTTTTCTTCCCACTGTTGCTAAGTGCTAGCTAGCTCATATGGGGTCATCTGATGGCTGGGGCTATTGTACAGTGTTTACCTCACACTATAGGGCAACTGTTGTTGTGATTTGGCGCTGTATGAATAAAATTTAATTCTACCGAAGAGCCGATCACCATTGTTAAAAAATAGATATTTTCTTATTAGGTTTTTAACAGGCTTGACATCTTGTATTGTTTTCAGCAACTCTTTAAATTTTGTGGCGTTTCCTATAAAGAGTGTTTTTTTAACCAGATGTGTTTAGTGGAGTTTCATGTATGCACGCATAATCAGAGTATAAGAAACAGGAAATCATCGCAATCATTGCTTTCATGTAAGGTAACTAATACTCCTCAGCTGTACATGGACCCAAACCACAATATAAGAGAGACTGAAGCCCCTTACTTAAAGGGGTCAAGGGTTAAAGGGGGGTTCTTTTACTCGCCACCCATCTGTACCTTTTTAAATGATTACTAAAAACAGATTTACGTAAAAAAAAAAAAACGATATTTTTTACACTGAAAATGTTATTTAATTTTGGCTCTTGCCCCTGTGTTCAGCAGTCCACAGAAAGTGGGAGTATTTATACCATTAATGGTAACAGCTCAGGTCTTTCCAGCTCTTTATTTGCCCATTTTTGTGATGTGTTCACTGATTATTTAAAAACCTTGAACGCTAACAAAGCAGTCATAGAAAAAAAGTACAAAATTGAGTTTTATTGACAAATCAAAAGTTTTTTTGTGAGTTTTAAAGAAAATCTGAAAGACTAAACGTTGCACTGGGTCGTCGTGGTCGCGTTCACCTCTTCTTGAAGCCGTACTTCTTTCGTTCATAGAACAGATCTGTTTTGGAGCTGCCCAGGTTTACAATCTTAGGACATCCATCTCGCTGGAGAGAGAAGAGAAAGACATTTTTTTATCTTAAAGAACAAGTCTCTTGGATATTTTGCTGCTTCAGTATCCAGTGTCAAAGTGAAGAGAGGAGCGGGAAACTCACATCTTTCTCCTGGATGGTGCATTCTTTGCAGTAGTAGGCGTCGGACACACCAGGCCCCCCACATATGACGCAGCGCCCCTGATAGGAGCCGTAGTTACACTCATCACAAATACGCACCAGTGTGCAGGGTCTGACGTAGGAATCACAGATGACACACTTTCCATCACCTGGACAGAGAAGAGAGGAAGAAGAAAGGTTTAAACTTATACTGGAGGAATTTGAGTTTAGACTTGTTTGTGCATTTTGTTTTCTTTTGGACTAAATAGCTAAATATTCTTCTAGAATCGAGTTCCCCGGATTCTAAAAAGTTGGTTTCTGGTTTTGTGAAAGCTTTTTCAGAGAATTTAAATTTTAAATCGGACTTTTTGAAGATGGCATGGGAGGAGCTTGGTTTGCAAATTGGAGATGAGGTGTGGGAGAGGAGTCTGAGTAAGATCCATTCTTGCTCTATAAATGCAAGGCATCAGTTAATTCAATTCAAAGTAATTCTCAGACTTCATTACTCAAAAACTAAACTGCATAGGATTTTTCCTTCTATCAGTCCGACATGTGATCGTCGTAAACTTGGAGAAGGCTCTCTCACTCATTTATTTTGGACTTGCCCCAAACTGCATAACTATTGGTTGGACATTTTTAAATGTTTTTCTGATATCTACAATTGCACATTAGAGGCAGACTCAATAACTGCATTGTTTGGATCTTCCTCTTCCCTTTTACTCCTCAGCTCTGCTGCACAAACTACAGTTTTGTTCGGAATAGTAATTGCTAAGAAAATTATCTTGACTCTCTGGAAGTCGGATATTGTACCTCAGTTCAAAATGTGGCTAATAGAACTGACTGCTCTATTGCACATGGAGAGGATTAGGCACACAGTAGCGGACAATCTTAGTGATTTCTTTGTTGTGTGGCAGCCATTTTTAGATCATGTATTAAAACAAAGTTCTCTTTGATCAATCGCAAATAATTCAGTCTACCACCTTAGCATTTTATTTCTGTTTATTGCCAATGTTGAAGTAGTATTTTTGTTGTTGCAGTGTTTTGCATTATTTGTGTGTTTTTGCCCTTGTTGTTGTGTTGTCTGTTTTGTTTTATTGTTTTTTGGGGTTTTTTGTTTGTTTGTTTTTTTTTTGGGGGGGGGGGGTTTGCTTTTGTGTCTTTTCTTTTATATCAAAAAATTAATTAACATACATTAAAAAAGGAAATATTACTGGTGTAATAAATAAAAAACACACACAGATTAAATACTGATTGTTATGAGCGTGGTTATAAAAATAAAATTAGGTGATTAAACTTGAAGTTAAATAAATTAAAGAAAAATATGACATAAGCAGACTTTAACACTAGTTTGAAATACATGCCGTTAGTTGTTCCAGATACTCCTCACAGATAAAACACTTACATTTCTCGCAGAGTCTCCCGATTGCTGCGGGACAGAAACGAAACAAAGTCAGTCAATGTGACAAGAATTCACACAAAAAACAAACCCCACTTTCTTCTAGTTACGATACCCTTCTAGCCACCAGAGCCCACAGACCTGCAGACACTTCCAGGCTAACACATTTTCAATGAAATCCACGCCATGTTAGCATGGATGCTAACGCTATGACCTACGAAACAACAACAAGGGACTTCCAGGCTGCAGCAAAATCCACTGTGCCGAATACTGAAACGTAAAATGAGTCCAAACTTACCAACACCAGCTTGTTTTCGACAGAAGATCAAATCTGGATGATGTTTAGCCATCTTCGATTTACGTAGGTAAAGCGCTTCTCTTTCTTTTTCTTCTTCTTCTGCTGCTGCAGCAGCTGGTTCTTCTTCTTTGTCGTTTTTTGGCGGTTGGCAAACAACGATGTGGTGCATTACCGCCACCAACTGGCTTGGAGTGTGGGCCGGAATTCGCTCATATCAAATAATCGGAAAATAAATAAAATAAATAAATACTACAGGATATATATATCCTCATATCCTTTCACACAAATGAGTTTCTTTTAGAAACTGAAACAAAGCCATAAAACGTTCACATCTAGAATTCCTTTGCAATAAATCCTTTATATCTAGCTTAATCCCCCCCAGATTTTGAATCAGTTGTGTTCTTTCTTCCTGATAATTTTGATTTTGGTTTAATTTATTCCACTGCGATTACATTTCCCTGTTTGACGTTGCCCTATAATGAACAGTGTACTGTTTAATCCAGTGTGGCCAAATCTGAATCAAGATATTATTGTCTCCTCTCTCCTGGTCCTCCCTGTGCTTCTCATGTTTCTTGTTTTCCTTTGAATAGAATAAAACCATCTCCCTGTCCTCTCCTCCTCCCACAGCTTTTTGCCCTATTTCCCACATTATC